TACGGCATTGAGCAGTGAATCGGACACTTCACCGAAGAACTTATGGGGACTTGGAAGACTTTTTTCATGCATGAGTGTCTTAAACAACTGTTTAAACTTTATTTGCTACAACATGAATTTGGATTTTTACCGAGAGAAATTTCTTCAAATTCTCACGTGTGGGTTGTATTCAACCGAACGTCACAGAAATCCCACAACTCCTGGAGTTGTCGTAGATCAAGGTAGCAGTAGGGACGACGATATATCAGCTTTACCTTTAAGTCAAATGGATCAAGTTGGCAGTGTGGATATGATATCTTCGTGTGCCACGTCTGATTTGTAATCTTGATGTAAACTTAGTGTTGAGCCAGTCGTCACGTGCATACATATCGCGGCTAACAGCGTCGCGGTCATCACATTCGTTGGTCACAGTCTTAGCACACTGTCTGTATTATTTTAATTTTTATTTTAATTTTATTATAATGTCATGAGTTAAAATACAATTACAGAAATAAAACAATAGTACACTATTAAAATCACCCCAGGCCCCCTATGGGTCTATAAGACACTTTTGTAAAAACGTATATAAATCATGTTTTGTAAATAGAATGTTCCCGTCGTTTTAGCATCCGGTCACAGGCTTTTGCAATGGAAAGACAAATTCTGTCATTAGACATTAAACACTGAAATCTACTCTCTTCATCTAAATTCATGAAACCAGTTACAATAGTAGAAACGTTTGCATACAAGTCGAAACGGATGTCTTCATAACGAGAACAGTTCAAAATTACACGTCTTTCATTTTCAATTGCATTATTACATAAAGGACACACCCTTTTATCAACTGGCAGCCTTTCATAACGACCTCCTTCCACCTAAATAAACTATCAGTCAAAATAATGTAGCTCATTTGTGGATTTAAGTTCAACCTAGTACTGTGACAAGAATGGATTATTTCTATCTTGGACATCGTGAACTGATCAATCCAAATCGATATTGGTAAATAATGGAAAAATTGGGTCAAGTTAATCACATTATTATCAGGTTTACTTGTACATCATATGTATTGACACTGCATCAAATGTGTAATTTCTAATAATTTCTAGACGTCCCTCGCTAGTCTTAAGATTTCAAGGCGTGCTTAAACGTGCATTGAGCTGGCGTGGACAGTGTGTAGTAAGAGTCTAGTTATCTCTAAGCACGCCGTGGATACGCGTGCCAAGACAAACTTAAAGTTGTAATTAGACTGGTCACTTTGGCTTTCGCGATATCTTTCTTTTTAGAACTCAAATTGTGTAAATAGTCTTATTGCTGTACAGGGAAGGACAGAAACGCTGGCGTTTTCAATTTTGCATTAGTTTTCTTAATAATCCACGGATTTCATGTTTTCTGTGCAGAGCACTTCATTCAATTTTATACGTATTTTCTGAATTCCAAAAACACTGTTCCACAGCTGCATGACTCTATCCGCAGTTAGCGTCATTCAAGATGGTTGCCGATTTTTTTTGTTTTCGACAAACCTCCGATTTCCTAAAACTAAGTTGAATCTGTATTCCAAAAGTTTCGCCATGCAAACTTATAAAGCTACGATTGTAAACAACCACAGATAAATGCTCTAACAACCACGATATGGGTTTCGCGATATTGGTTTTAAAGAAAACAGCTTCACTTAGAATGACTCTAACTGAAGTTGTCATCATTAACTTCAGTCAGAGTCATTCTATAAATGCTTTTCCCAGATATACTTTACAGTGACGAACGTCTCTCGCCATTTGTGCGATACGATCACAAGTTAGCATGCAGAACTGGTTCAAACAACATCATGATCTATTCGTTATTACACAATTAAATGCAATCACAACCTATGTATACACGGATGGTTATAAGTTCCGACTCTGGAGCACATCAATTTGAATTAGTTACGATTAAAAATTTGCAGGGTTGTCTTAAGTGTGATTAATGATTTCAAAAATCATCATCACATACAATAAAATACGAGTCCCTGTGGAAGTACATGACATCCGGGAAGTAATGTTACCAATCCTCTTATTTTAAGAGAATTATCTGTTTTGAGATGACATTACTACAGATTGTAGACTGACATTATAACACTATCATGTAGCTATTATGACATAAAGTTCCAAAATGATGAAGTTATGGTTGTTAATGAAATGGGAATAATGGGTTTGTGGAGAATATGTAATACAAACCACATTCTGTTCCCTGGTTCCTATCATAACAAATTGTGTACCATTACGGCATTGGGAGTAGTGTTGAAATACTACTTGCAATGATTATTTCATTCAATATAAAGTGTTTCCCGGTTTTGTTTCCCGGTTTTGCCATAACTTAAGCATTCATGGTGCCTCTTGACCCACGATTCAATGACGTGATCACAAGCACTACTACCCATCTCTAAGATTGCTGATTACATTGGCTTTCGGTTGAATCTTCTTTAATGTCGATCAATCTTGTTTTCTTTTTTCATGAGGGTAGAAGTCTGAATGGGCTTTGTCAGATGAATGGGACATTGTATGATAAAGATTCAATGTTAATGCACTCCATTGTTCGTTTTGTTTCCTTCCTTGCGAGTTGCTGCATTGTTGAGGTACAGCAACGTGTATCAATTCAGAGAGTTTCTTCTCAGAGTTTGCATAAGATATCATGAAATCACATTGTTCTGATGATCAATGACATTCTTAATTCACATTGTATCACTGTGATAACAATTATATGATATCGGAAAAAAGTGGTGATAGAAAATACAATTTCAAACGTTGTCTCAAATGTTTAACCATGATAACTATAACTTTAATACATGTAAAGAAAGTTGGAAGATATGTTGATGGCAATTTCCTCTCAAAGGAAGATCTCTTAAAATTAGACCATTTATTTCTTATAACTTTACTTCCCGGACACAATGTAAGTGACAGGAAGTGAGAGTTGGGCCGAAGTATTACTAATTTAAAAGTACAGGGTGACCCAAAAATGCAACCCTTAAATGGAGGTTAATTGCTATGAAATTTGGCACACAAGAACTTCATTCAATGTGGGATCCTCTGGCAAAGTTTCAAAAATCATAGTTTTATATTGATAGAGTTATGGTCATTCCAAAATATGCTCCAAATGTAGTCCATTTCCAATGTTAGGTTTTCGGATGAATCACATTCCCTTCTTTCTGAACATGTAAACTCAAGAAATAATGTGTTCTGGGATCACAAATTCCAGATGAAATGCTTCAAAGGCCCCTTCATTCTGTTAAATGCACAGCTTGGGCTGCCAATTTCCAAACATGAAATCATCAGCCCCTTTTGATTTGAGGTTGATAATGGCAACACTGTTACTGTTAACACACAGCGCAATATTGGCGTTCCCAGGAAGTTCGAGGCAGTTCTAGAGTGACATAGAGACTTCAATAGACAAGAACAGTGGTTCTAGAAGGATGGAGCTACTCCTCACACTTCTAATGATAGCATAGCCTGGCTCACTAGTCATTTCTATGAGAAGATTATCTCTCCTAGGACGGAGAACCTATGGTCATCCCACAGTCTTGATCTTAATGCCCCTGACTTCTATAAATGGGGTTATTTAAAGGATAATGTGTATGAAAATAACCCTACCGCAATTGCAGAACTCCAATAAGCAATGGCTGCAAATGCATCCGTGTTGTGAACAGTTTTCCTTGAACATAGCAAGTTTGTTTTCAACGACATTGACGACATCTGGAGCATATTTTGAAACAACCATAACTCTATCAATATAAGACTATGATTATTAAAACTTTGCCAGAGGATCCCACATTGAATGAAGTCCTTGTGTGCCAAATCTCAGAGCAATAAAATATAGAAGAAATTGAGGGTTGCATTTTTTTGGGTCACCCTGTATATGTCAGTGCATTAGAAATGAGGATTTTTGCTGTAATTTGCAATAAAAATTATTATCCACAAAACAGCAATATGTTGCAAACAGAATGTCCCTGTCCCAAAATGAATTTATGATTCAATAATTAGAAAATATCTTATTGAAGAAATAGACCCTTTAAAGAGGCTCTATACCATAGGATAGCACAATCAAGACCCATCTGGACCTTTTTACATATTGAGTTTCACCACATATTCACCCTACCCCATATTCACATTTGGGACAGAGGCATTCTGTTTGCAACATATTGCTGTTTTGTGGATAAAAAAATTTAATTGCAAATTATAACAAAAATTCTCATGTCTAATGCATCGACATAGACTTAAGCTGATTACGTTTCTTGATGTGATCCCAACACTCTTAAAAATTATTACTTGGATTTCCTTATATTGAGAAATTGTACTACTCATTTTAAGTCAAAAATTACTTAAATAATCTTGAACTACTGAATAATTTTTAAGTAATTTTTAAGTAATTCATTTATGGTGAATTTACTAATGCAAGGAGAGAAATTGAAATACTTACTGTAGTAATTGTAATACTCATTTACATAATTAAGCAATTAAAAACCTCAAAATGACAATCTAAGTTAAACCTAAGTAAAATGAAGTAAAACTAAGTATTTAACTTTAAGTAATTTTTATACTTGGGAAATATTTGGGAAATACTCAAGTAATTCATTTTTAAGAGTGAATGGTCTTCAATGACATCCCTAGGGATGCTAGTAAGGTAGAATATTGGTTTACATCTTTGAGAAATGTTCTTCAAGGGCATCAACCCATTCCAAACAATTCATCGGATCGTGTGATGATATGACATGTTGCAATATCTAACTTTTTTCTACAAAATAGAGTTTCCTGAAAAGGTCCTATTGAAAAACTTTTTGCGGGGCCTAAATCATAAATAACAAATAGACGTGCTGAACATTGAAACCCCCTACGTCTTTGTACGCATTATGTATTTTATGAAGCATAATGACATTATTTACTGCCTCTAGTTGATTGTTTGAGAAATATTACACTCTCAAGTGCTCCAATCACTAATTAGTTAGTTATGTGATTATGTGAATAGTTTCCTATACATATGTTTTCAACCAATAGCATACGTCGGAACGGCTCACATCACCCATGGGTCCATTTTATTTATACATGGCATGGGATTACATCGGGGATTAAAAAGTTATTCCTAGAAACGCTATAATAACTAAAAAACCCTATAATAGCTCTTTGTGTCTACTATACTATCAATGATATACATTGACCTGGATACAATGTTTGCTATACAGGGAATTTCTAAAAGTGATGAGTCACAATCAACATGAAGCAGAAAGTAGAGGATGGCTTACTCCAGATGGTAAGATTCAGATCACAGGGAATGGATCCAACCTGTAGATAGCACCCAGGGGCGGATCTGGGAACCAACAAGGGGGGGGGGCAAATTTCAGGTCAGAGAAAAGAACTTCCGCGCTTGAGGGGAAAAAATGTTGGGCCCCTAAAACCCAAAAGCGGTCCCAAATTTTGAAATTTTGAGGCCCATTTTCTTCAAAATTTGGCCTGAATTAAAAGATAAGGCCTTAAGGTTCAGCTGGAAAGTAACATTTTGGTAAAAAACTGCTATACCTGCACATGTTATTTTCTGGTACAAAATTAAGTATGAAGGCATGTGTGTATTTCCTTGCTTTTTTCAGGAAAGTATGATTACATTGTCTACTTTAAGTAAACCTGGAAACAGGTCAATGGTAGCTGCTGTGTTGTCTGGAAACTTTGAAAGAAAATTTGGAAAAACAGGAAGTGTGAAATATCAGAATTCCCTGGAGTTCCCTTTGAACGCCTGCCAGATATTCTAAAAGAAGACAATGTAATGATTCTTTCCTGAAAAAAGCAGAAAAATTGATACATGCCTTCATACTTTATTTTGTACCAGAAAATAACATGTGCAGGTATAGCAATTTTTTACCAAAATGTTACTTTCCAGATGTACCTTAAGGTCTCATGGAAGTTAACAGGAAATGACAAAACAAAAAATGACAAAGCCATGCTGGATTTTGAAAATTTTTTGAACCAAGATAACAGAGTTCTGTTTGGACCTCCAGTCAGTTTAACTAGTTCCAAATATCATTTACATGACCAGGAACACAATTGAAAGGGTCAGAATGACCATAAACATGATAAAATAACCTTTTTAGCCCTCTGAAAATGTGACTGAAAAATAGCTAAAAGTAGGTGCTCAGGAAAGGTCAATGAACAGAATCTTTTGATTTTTTCAGAATATGTGTCCAATATATTGCTCTAAATGACACAATCTTTGAAATTTTAAAAAATCGTCTGAAACAATAATGGCTGTAGTAAAAAGGAAAATAGATCGATTTTCAATTCAGTTTTTTTCAATTTTTTCTTTTTCTAAGAATGATATCAAATTTTTTTGAATTGTATCATTTAGAGCAATATATTGGGCACATTTTCTGAAAAAGTCAAAAGATTCTGTTCAGTGACCTTTCCTGAGCACCTACTCTTAGCTATTTTTTAGTCACATTTTCAGAGGGCTGAAAAGGTTATTCTATCATGTTTATGGTCATTCTGACCATTTCAACTGTGTTCCTGGTCATGTAAATGATATTTGGAACTAGTTAAACTGACTGGAGGTCCAAACAGAACTCTGTTATCTTGGTTCAAAAAATTTTCAAAATCCAGCATGGCTTTGTCATTTTTTGTTTTGTCACTTCCTGTTAACTTCCATGAGACCTTAAGGACAGGGTGCATGTTGGGAAATTTTCTGCATTCCTCAATTGAGTCACATGTTATTTTTCAAACAAGAATAACTCCTTCCCCACATTGTCTACATCTTCCAGGTTTGCACAAAGAGTGCACTTATGTGCCTAGAAAAGCCTTGTGAGAAGATTTGTTTTGTAAAATGTATAAAAAACGAGAAAATTCAGTGAAAAGAATTTCTGAAAATTTTCTGAATTTTTTCACTGAATTTTCTTGTTTTTTATACACTTTATCAAAACATTCTTCTCACAAGTCTTTTCTAGGCACATAAGATCACTATTTGTGCAAACCTGGAAGATATAGACTCTCTGGGGAAGGAGTGATTCTTGTTTGAAAAATAACATGTGACTCAATTGAGGAATGCAGAAAATTTCCCATCATGCACCCTGACCTTAATGTACAGCTGGAAAATAACATTTGGTAAAACATTGCTATACCTGCACATGTTATTTTCTGGTACAAAATAAAGTATGAAGCCATGTGTCAATTTCCTTGCTTTTTTCAGGAAAGTATCATTACATTGTCTTCTTTTAGAATATCTAGTAGGAGTTCAATGGGAACTCCAGGAAATTCTGATATTTCACACTTTCTATTTTTCCAAATTTTCTTTCAAAGTTTCCAGACACCACAGGAGCTACCATTGACCCATTCCAGGTTTACTAAAAGTAGACATTGTAATGATACTTTCCTGAAAAAAGCAAGGAAATACACACATGCCTTCATACTTAATTTTGTACCAGAAAATAACATGTGTAGAGTTCATTTCACTGCTTCATTTCGTCAGTAGAACGGCAAAAATAAGAAATTGGGAGACCATTGTGCAATAATATATGGAAAAGTATATTCATAATGTACATGAATGACATTTCTATATTTCAGATTTTTTAGTTTTTTGTGCAATAAGCCTGTGCCGTCTTGTAATTTGAAGAATTTCAGCCATGTTAATCTTATTGAAAATAACATGGCAGAGGAACATCCAAATATAAGAGGCCACACACATTATAAGCCAAACTAGAAGCAATCCAAGATATACAAATGTCATTCATGTACATTATGAATATACTTTTCCATATATTATTGCACAATGGTGTCCCAATTTCTTATTTTTGCCGTTCTACTGACGAAATGAAGCAGTGAAATGGACTCTAGATATAGCAATTTTTTACCAAAATGTTACTTTCCAGCTGAGCCTTAAGGTCAGGGTGCATGATGAGAAATTTTCTGCATCCCTCAATTGAGTCACATGTTATTTTGCAAACAAGAATCACTCCTTCCCCACATTGTCTACATCTTCCAGGTTTGCACAAAGAGTGCACGTATGTGCCTAGAAAAGACCTGTGAGAAGAATGGTTTGATAAAGTGAATAAATAACAAGAAAATTCAGTGAAAAAATTCAGAAAATTTTCAGAAATTTTTTTCACTGAATTTTCTCGTTTTTTATACATTTTACAAAATAAATCTTCTCACAAGTCTTCTCTAGGCACATAAGTGCACTCTTTGTGCAAACCTGGAAGATGTAGACAATGTGGGGAAGGAGTGAATCTTGTTTGAAAAATAACATGTGACTCAATTGAGGGATGCAGAAAATTTCTCATCATGCACCCTGACCTTAAGGCTCAGCTGGAAAGTAACATTTTGGTAAAAAATTGCTATACCTACACATGTTATTTTCTGGTACAAAATTAAGTATGAAGGCATGTGTGTACTTCCTTAAAAGGCCCAGTAATGACCAAAAAGGCCCACTTTTTGGGGCCTTAAGGTACAGCTGGAAAGTAACATTTTGGCAAAAAATTGCTATACCTGCACATGTTATTTTCTGGTACAAAATAAAGTATGAAGGCATGTGTCAATTTCCTTGCTTTTTTCAGGAAAGTATCATTGCATTGTCTTCTTTTAGAATATCTGGATTGAACTCCAGGAAATTCCGATATTTCACACTTTCTATTTTTCCAAATTTTCTTTCAAAGTTTTCAGACAACACAGGAAAAGTATGAAGGCATGTGTCAATTTCCTTGCTTTTTTCAGGAAAGTATCATTGCATTGTCTTCTTTTAGAATATCTGGTAGGAGTTCAATGGGAACTCCAGGAAATTCCGATATTTCACACTTTCTATTTTTCCAAATTTTCTTTCAAAGTTTTCAGACAACACAGGAACTACCATTGACCTGTTTCCAGGTTTACTAAAAATAGACAGTGTAATGATCCTTTCCTGAAGCAAGGAAATACACACGTGACTTCATACTTAATTTTGTACGAGAAAATAACAATGTGCAGGTATAGCAATTTTTTACCAAAATGTTACTTTCCAGCTGAACCTTAAGACCTTTTTTGAATTTTTCAGAAAATGTGCCCAAAATAATGCTCTAACTGATACATTCTTTGAAATTTCAGAAAATTGTCTGAAACAAAAATGGCGGTCATAAAAAGGAAAATAGATCGCTTTTCAAATCAGTTTTTTTATTTATTTTTTATTTTTCTATGAATGATATCAAATTTTCAAAGATTGTATCATTTAGAGCAATATATTGGGCACATTTTCTGAAAAATTCAAAAGATTCTGTTCAGTGACCTTTCCTACCTCCTACTTTTAGCTATTTTCAGTCACATTTTCAGAGAGCTGAAAAGGTAATTTCATCATGTTTAGAATCATCCTGACCATGAACATTGTGATCCTGGATCTGTAAATGGTATGTGGAATTAGTTGAATTGACTGGAGGTCAAAACAGAACTCTGTATCTTTGTTCAAAAAATGTCTAAAAATGCAAAATTCTTGTCATTTCCTGTTAAGTATCATGGCACCTTAAGGTAGCGGTAAAATTAATCAAAAGTACAAAAATGGCAGCCATATTTTTTGATAAAGTCACAAGATTTTGTATCTATTTTCCTTATATGTGAATGCATTTCCTGACTAAAGAGACATGTCAAAGCAAACTTCACACTCAAACACATTTTTTATAACTTGAATTGGAGGTGCATGGGTCCCTAAAGCTAGCATGGAGACAGTGAAGTGAGGATAACTTTTTAACATTTCAAGGAGTAGAATTGCAACAGAGACACATTTGTAAGACTCAAAATTTCCACAAATCATCCTAACTTATCAAGGAACATCAAAGGAGCATGGAAATATGTACTTCTTATATTGTTAGAGTATTATAAAGCTCAAACCATTGTGAATTCTAAATATTTCATGTCCACCATTTTGTTTGCTGGGACTATTTTCTAGTCTAAAGTAATCCTCACTCGTGTATCCATTGTTTATCATTTATAAAGCCTCAATCATCTATCTATCATGATTATTATGCTGTTATTTTACAATATAAAATATACTAGTGGTAATCCATGCCATTTGGTGAAGTCACAAAACTTGTATGAGGATTAATCAGGAAGTCTAGAAGTAGTTCCGGCAAACAAAATGGTTGACATGAAATATTTATAAGGAACTATGGTTTGAGCTCCATCATACTCTATCTATGCAAGAAGTGCACATCTTCACGCTCCTTCGATGTTCCTTGGTGAGGTAAGATGATTTGTGGAAATTTTGAATTCTTGCAAATGTGTGACTGTTGCAAGGCTACTCCTTGAAATTTTAAAAAATTAGCCTCATTTCACGGTGTTCATGCTAGCTTTGGGGACCCATGCACCTCCAATTCATAGTTATGAAAAATGCGTTTAAATGTGAAGTTTTCTTTGACATATCTCTTTAGTCATAATGCATTCTCATATAAGGAAAATCGATACAATTTTTTTGACTTTACCCCAAAAATATGGCTGCCATTTTTGTACTTTAGATTAACTTTACCGTTACCTTAAGTTTTTTATTTTTACATATTGTATACTCTCATCCACTGATGTGTAGCCTCTTGAAAATTCTCTTCTTTTTAACATGGGAAATCCTCATTCCAACAAATCCAGGTGTCATTTATTTATGGTGAGCACTGTACATTTTACAAAACAGATCTTCTCACCAGTCTTCTAGGCACAAAAGTGCACTCTTTGTGCAAAACTGGAAGATGAAGAAAATGTGGGGAAGGAGTGATTCCTGTTTGAAAAATACAAGGGTTGTTCAAAAAGTTTTGCACAGACATATCTAATTATGAAATTAATGAACCAATCTTGTTCATATTTGGTAAGTATGTGCCCACATCTTATTTCCTTACACCGTTAAGTTTTCATATATTTATGATTAGTACTTAACATTTTACGGTTGCTATGGTAACCAAGGTGATGGCGGCACGGTCCATATCATTTTTAAAGACAATATCACTAAACATGCCCAAATTAACTTACATCAACTGTCAACTTAAATCTAAGCAATATCTAGTATTGTTTTCATGGCAAAAATGAATCTTATATCAGTGTTCCATTTGAACCATTTGAACAGTATACAGACATCACACAGTAGCCCGCATGTTTAAATTCTCCACACTCTCTAGTTTATTTATTTACTGACCCTGGAAACATGGGTTGTGCCACAACAATTGTGATACTATCCTGCTTACTTTTTAAGATATGGAAGATAATCAATATTTCAATAATAGGCGCAAAAATTCGCAGAAAGTTGAATATTTTATACAGGGTCAATCATTCAATATACAATTAAACTGATTTAGTGATACTAAAGGTAATATGTCACATAATCACTTTTTGTTTCAGACGGAGCTAGTCTTTCTGTTCTGCGTGGCTTTCACAGTAATATGCTTGGTGTGTCTAAACTTATCTATCACGCTGAAATCGACTAACCCGAGATATCGAGCACATGATTTTACTACCGAAAAACTACAACATAACGAAAAGTCTACGTATAACAAAAACAACAACGACGAAATAAAAATTCTCATATGGACTACATATTACTCCGGACTTTTAAACTTTTCCGCAAAGTGCTCTGTTAATCGCTGTAGTTTTCACCACGATAAATCCAAATTAGGGATATCAACAAGTGATGCGGTCTTATTCCACGTGTGGAGCGGTGACTTTAACAGTTTGGACATACCTCCGATTCGTTTCTTTTGGCAGAACTATATTTTTTTTTCGTTAGAAAATCCAACAAGGCATACCTTCTCCAAACAACTGAACTTGACGAAATTCGACGGTTTCTTTAACCTTACAGCTACATACAAACTAGACTCTGATGTACCTTTGCCTTATGGGCAATATATTTCTTCAAAAACAAATCTAAAACCTAGAAGTCCAAGGAGGAATTATTACATTGAAAATAGACGTGATGAAAGGGACAAGAATGCTACTATTCTCTGGACTGTAAGTCACTGTAATACAAAGAATAAGAGGATGCAGTTTGTGAAAGAGCTACAAAAACATATAAAAGTTGATATATTTGGAAAATGTGGAAAACCCTGTGCGCGTTACAGAAAATGTAAGTTGAACACATTCCATGCCTACATTTAACATAAATTCCCAAATTCCATGCCTACATTTAATCTAAATTCCAATGTCTATTCAACCTAAATTTTCATATCTTAGTTCTACACTGCATCTGCATAAATGCGTACTTTTGAATGTCTACAAAAAATTGTGAACTCGTGATGTACGTGTATCTTCGGCATCCGTCAATTAATGTATTTAAAATATGCTTTTCTAGGTTTGTATAGATGTCACTACTTTCAGGTAGAACACTGTTAACCGTATATGGGTTCCTTGTCCCCTGGGCCTATGCATTTGTTCGAGATATTTTACTATCAGAGTAACACCATATAGATTTGAATACTTACTAATATATGTGCTTTGTTTTGCACTTTCAGGTGGGACACAGCCATATATGTTTTACCTGGCCCTCGAGAATGCCGATTGCAAGGACTACATCACAGAAAAAGTGTGGAAAAATGCATTACTTGAGAATCTAATACCAATAGTACGAGGGTCAAAAGTAGAATATAATAAAATTCTACCTCCAAACTCATTTATTCAAGCAAATGCCTTCAATTCGGTAAACGATTTAGCTTTGTACATTACAAAAGTGTCTCGAAACGAAACACTCTACAATTCATACTTCAAATGGACTGAACGTCACAGGGTTAAAATCACAGTTGGTTTGTATCAACCTCATAATATTTGCAAACTGTGTACAGTCCTTCATGAAAGGAGACAAGATACTTCTTTCAACAAACAATATAATATCAGCTCTTGGTATGGTTGGAGAGAACAGTGCTCGCACAATTAGAGCATTCATACTATTTCTCCCTTTGAATGTAATTACAATTATAAATTGCAATTTAAAATGGGAACTGATATATACATTGCATTTGTTACCATTCCGTAGCAATCGGTATTCCAAGAAGATGTTAAATAGGTCATATCAATATATTGATGTTTATTGCCGCAGCCATCCGGATCTTACTTAAAGAGATCGGGTCTCCTAAAAACACAATTAGAGTAACCCCCTGGTTTTTCGTGTTATTTGATGTAAAACAAGTTTGTTTATCAACTATCAATTCTGAGGCTTGAGTTAATTCGTTAACAGTATCAATTCGATGATTGTTCCTAGCCATGAATTTCCACTTACATCAATAGAAATTCAAATTCAAATTTAAAAAGCCCGCCCAAATTTGTCCCAATCTGATTGGCTTTTTCCTTCAGATTATTTTGGCTTAGAGAAGCCATGTTTATTACTTCTAAGGGGTTAAAATATAAATAAATCCCCAAAAACATTGTATTCCGTTTTCGACTTATTGCGTTCAATTCTGACAGTTGGTTGTTCTTTTGGTTGCCCTGTTGATATCCTCAATATATTGTCGATATCTTGCTTATGATTTGGTCTCAAGATATTAAAGGTATATCTGATGTTTTATGAGCAATTATATTGGGACATTACTGATTGTCCAGAATAGAAATCTGGACGACTCGATCTCTTTAAGATTTGCAAAAATAGAAAGTTGGAAAATGCAATTTATTGTTTTTGGACGATTGGAACATTCATATTGTAAACATATCGAATACTGGTATGTGGTCATTATAGAATTGTGTGTTGTAGAAAATGTTCGTCGAGGCTTAAATGCAGTTAGAATACACCTTCAATGGGTAGTTTTTGTTTCAAGGTAGTACCAGTGTAGAAAGTGGAAGACAATATTGTTATATGTGGTTGAAGCGAGCATGGAACTTTTGAAATGCAGGACTAGGTGATACCGATAGGTAGAAGAACTGCCGTAGTGTCCACAAATGTGTCTTGCAATCCTCTAGCTGCTTAGTGCCCACATGGGCTTTAAAGGCCCATGGTGCCCATGCACATCTTAGATCCTGGGTGCTCTGATTGTTTCTAAAGTGTTCTTTCACAAGGTTTATGGATTTGAGAAATAGTATCACAAATGAACCCTAGTGTGGAGAAATTAAACTGTTAAATGGATTTTTTAAATACACCCCTTTCAAAACTTTACCTTTCTTCCCCATTGTGCATTAAACTTCTTTAAATGGTACTCCTTGTAAAATGGTTTTTATCCACTCATGGATTTAGCCCATCTTCACTCATAAATAAGAATAGAGGTGGAGTATGCTTCATGGGATGCAGGCCGTTACTTGTATCACTTGCTGTTCGCCCAAAATTGTCGAATTTATGTATACTAGCTAATAGATAGTATAAAAAGCTGTTCAACTCTTTTGAGTTGTCAATAACTTGTACACTGGTCTTGATTTGGTGAATACACCGAGCCAGTTCTACATATTTTTATCTCGCTGGTGCCATACTCGCTTACCAGTTTTATTTTCAAAACCAAAACTTTGTTACGCGGTAAACACGATACAAAAATATGTCATATTCCGCAACGAATATGACATATTCACTTGCGGTGTATGACAGATTCACCTGCTGTATATGGCATACACACTAACCAATGAGAACGTGATACGGAAGTACACAATTGTCAATTGCATCGATTGAACGAACAAGTAAAACTTTATAAATTATTGTAATGATTACTGAATCAACAGTACTGTGTATCGAATATATTAACTTAGCAGAAGTATCAGTCACCAATCTCACGTAATAAACTTACTCAATCAATCCAGGATTCATATATAAGTACTCGACGCACTAACTATATTGGTAAGAAATCCAGCGTAGTTTTACATTTAGAGTCGACTCTCGCAACCAATCAAATCAAGGCTTTCTGTATCACGTTTTCACCTGCGATATATGTCATATTTACCTGCGGTATATGGCATATTCCGCAAGTGAGTATGACGTATTCCGCAGGTGAGTATCGGGTATTCACTGAACTCAATATATCGCATATTCACTGCGGAATATCGCATACTCACCTGCGGAATATGCCATATACCGCAGGTGAGTATGGCATATTCACCCGTATCACAAATACTGCGCAACCATGAATGTATGCCATATACCGCGTAACAAGCTTCAAACCTTGGTTATCCACCTATCGTTAGACAAACATTTCACTTATTAAATGACAAAGCTAGAAATCGGGTCTCATGGTCTTAAGATGCAACAAATACGACTAAAACGATTGCAAAACAGTTGATAGAACTCAGAACTGTATTTATGGCTATTGTATTTTAGGATATTGACTATTTATTGAGCGTAATCTATGGATTATATTCAACTCGGTGGCTACTTGCCATTACTGAAGTTACAGTACAATACCCAATACTTGGTCAAAGCAAATTGCAATTGCGAATGACATTGGATGAAGAAAAGAATGAATGACAAATTGAGACGAACTTGTAGGGCATTTCTAGACATTAAATGAGATTGGCTATATTAAAGGACTTTTATAAGTACATACACGGGACAATGACATGTGGTTTTAGAACAATGTTCTCTTATACATGGGTATACAGTTGTATTATATTTTTACATTGAGACCTAAGATGAAGAAGAGCATCTTACTTTTACACATAGTCTAGGTGCAATATTTAAATACAGTGTATATGGTATTTACTATATGGCATAACTTTCCTTAAAATGTCGTTGTAGCTATGCATTAACTTTTCGAGACATGTGAGTAGTTGGAATGTTTTTCTCCTATAAATAATATCGAATATCACGGGCCAACACAAATGGAGTATATCTTTGTTTATAGCCAATATTCGTGGCGAATCTTCAAATTTCATGATACCATAATAATATGATTTATTTTTGAGCGCTGTTTTATTTTATCAACTTCATCGCTCTTTGATTGGCACCTTTAACTCTGTCATCAGCGACATTTGCTTTGTGTGTGGTTCTGTCCAATTGCTTGTTTTGACTATCAATTGTATTGCCCATATCCATAGCCATCATTTTTAGGTTGCCTACAATCCCCCCAACCTGTTGCAAGTTCTCTTCCATTTCATCCTCCCGAGCATCGTTAGTTACACGAGTAATGTACCCTCCACCCGGGCCACTATCGTACTGCCCTCGTTTATCTTCCATCCTGGCCTGAGGACCTTTTGTATTCGGCTCCCCGTCCTTATTAGGCTGCCAACTGTTGAATTCAGAGTCTTTACTTGGAATTCTTTTCCACGGTGGACATAGACATAAGCCGCAACACTTCTCCATTTGACGGAGATTTGCTTCCGCAACTTTTACGTCAGCGTTAATCTTTTCAACACCATCTTCTATACGATTGAGTTGTTCCCCCTGTTCATCTAACATAACCAATGTTTTCACACCTGAAAGTAAATCGTGATAATAACCGTTCTACAAAACAAAATAGCCACTTTAAACGAAAACATGCTGAACGTTGTACTTCGGAGAACAAATTAAATGTATTTAGGCCTACATATATTAGAGATAAAATATTGTAAGTTTTATATCTTTTCTCCAAAGATAGATAGGAGTTCATGTTATGTCACACTGACCTACATCCTGGCTTTCCTCGGACATTTGGAGCATGCGCCGTGTGCTGTCCAGTGATTGGTCAGTGACAGCGTTGGCCTGCATCTGGTAGTCCCTCAGCTCCGACCTCATATCGTCATCGCCCCCACGATCCATTTTTATCTATTATTTTGTAATCTGAAATAAAAATGTATAATTTACCATTATGTGGCACCTAATACTCCCTATAGATGGGGGAGTCATGGTTACTGTAACCTGTATAATTGTTACATTGATTTTAACAAATAAAAAGATGGGAACCACCATTACCTTAGATGATATTTATAAACATCATTTTTTATCTTGAAACAGCTAGACGTAACGCATGGTAACGTAACTTGAGCATGTTAATTTTTATCGATTCAAAGTTCAGGTTATTTCAATATCATGTTGCATCTTAAAGGATCAACCCCACTCAAGTAGAAGAGTATACGGACACAGTTTTAAGGATTTAAGTCCTGGACTCGGCTGTATTGTGGACTGGATCATTCATCTGAATTGTTGTTTTTTTAAATCTTCGCATGTCCACGCAGCAGGAATGCAAAATTTAGGAAACAACGTCTGAGTGGAATGAATCGGTTACAATGAATCAAGTCTTGGGCTTTAATTCTTTTCACACATTACAAAATATTTTCTACGAAATCACCTAAAAGATACGATACGTGTTGTTTTTAAATCTTCGCATGACCACGCAGCTGGAATGCAAAATTTAGCAAACAACGTCTGAGTGGAATGAATCCGCCACAATGCATTACGTCTTGGGCTTACATTCTTTTACACATATATAAAAATGTTTAGTACGACATCACCTAAAAGATACAAAATCACAAAAGAACATATTTTCAATGAAAGCTTTTGTCAGTGTCAAGTTGACAAAGCATTCATTTTAATGTTTAGAGTCAAGTTATCACCTTGATAACCGTTCGAACGAATGACCTTGAGTGTGGTGATTGGTTATATAATCCAACGCAGTTATGAAATACTGTGTTCCAATTGGCTGGAATCAGACACACTTTGTCTAGCTACAGTATGTGTGCAAGGAGGATTGGCTCCCAGAGTGCACCACCGATATTCTGTCCCATATATGGGTATGTCGTAATACAAAATTCGAATTCAAACAGCCGCCATTTTGTTCACTTCAACATTTAAATCGTGAATTTTGGTCTTATTTCCAAACGAAAAATTCCAAAACTCACAAGAAACGATCGAGATATTGGTTCGAATCTTTTGAACTGTTTATTTTGAATTTATAGTCGGTTTTAATTTCAGAAAATAACGACATTTCGACGTTTTCATTGTTGGAAAATATCGAGTTTCGATCCTGGGAGCCAATCCTCCTTGGTATGTGTGAATACATTTTAAACCATACTATCAGCCATATTTCTTTTACATTTCCGCTTTATCCCTGCATTCTTAATTCTATTTCATTAATTTAGGGAAATATATACATAAGATGTTAAAATCAGCATTTTGGGTATGCTCTAGACTACAGACACGTTTTGATTTACATGTAATTTATTGAAAGAGATATATGATTAATCAAGATGCTCTAAATATTAAATTATCCCTTAGATGGTTCCAATGCGTTCCTGATGTCTGCAATTTCTCAAGATGGCATCCGACACCACAATCAATGATGACGCTATTGACAAACGCTTTCATCATTACAAGAGCTTGAGAAAAATCATTCTCCCGTTTGCCCCGGTCTCCCCAACACTAAAGACTAATAAAATATATAAACCTAAATAAACAGAAAAAACAATGAGATTCATTTTTTGTAATATAAACCAAAAGTAACTGTCTATTTTGAAAATGAGTTATGTTACGTATATGCCATCTACGCAATATTCGTGACACAATCTTATGTTTGTAATTAATTAAATCACTCCAAATAGAAGGACGTAAAACCTAGTCATTATATTACACTTCTAACAGACGTGCAGTAATTGTATATGTAAGACGAATTAGGAAAAACGATTAGATCTTGAATGTGAGGGATGTAACCTTGTTTTACATTCTAGTGTTAAAATTATGACCCCTGCTTGGAAGATTATGTTATTTATATGGTTCATTCTGACCCAGAATGAAATTATTTTTTCGAAAGAAATACTAAGAATTAAATCTTAAATCGTTATTCACGCCTAACCATCGACAAGGTACAGTGACAAAATATACCGGAGTACACTTTAGATGTACGATGTCACTATTTAACTGATTTGAAGCAAAGACAATGATGTAGGTTTGATGTAGGTTTTAGAAAATAATCTGAGGAATGCATTAAGGCTTTCATGTTTGATTATCCCACCGAACGAAGTTCGAGGGGGATATAGAAAAGACGTTCGTCCGTCCGTTTGTGTGCCCGGGCAATAAGGATTTCATGTTTGATTATCCCACCGAACGAAGTTCGAGGGGGATATAGAAAAGACGTTCGTCCGTCCGTTCGTGTGTCCGGGCAATAACTCAAATACCGGTCGACGGATTTCATTCAAATTTTATAGGCTTATTCCTTATGGTAGTAGGACCTCCGCTCGGGAAGGAATTTTCAATATGGCCGCTAAATTCAAAATGGCGGCCATTTTTCGGAAAAAATATAATCTTTGATATCTCAAATAGTAGTAGATGGATTTGGTTCAAATCTTATATGCTATTGCCTGGGTACAAAAGAACCTTGCTCAAGAAGACATTTTCAAGGTGGCCGCTATATTTCAAAATGGCGGCCATTTTTCGTAAAAAACGTTATCTTTGACAACTTTTAGTTTTTTTTACCATACCAATACCATTCAATGGATTTGGTTCAAATTTTACATGCTGATGACTAGGGACATAGGAGCTCTATACATACATAGGCATAGGCAGCTAAATTTCAAAATGGCCGCCATTTTTCATAGAATAACGTAACCTTTGATAACTCAGATACCGGTTTATGGATTTGGTTCAAATTCTATATGCTGATGCCTAGAGACAAAGAAATTCTGCCCGAGAAGACATTTTCAAGATGGCCACTGAATTTCAAAATGGCTGCTATTTTTCGTAAAAAACGTAATCATTGATAACTCAAATACCAGTGGATGGATTTGGTTTCAATTTTATATGCTGATGTTGAGGGAAAAAGGAGCTCTGCTTGAGAAGAAATTTTCAAGGTGGCTTGAATATGTTGCATAAAGTGACATCTAAATTAACATTATTTCCAGAAAATCACGAAGAACAATTTAAAATACTTATGAGTGAGCCTGGAATCTACCTATACGTTGCCAGGGCCTGTGGCCAAATGCTCAGGACCAGGGAGCGGGTTCTATATAGATAAGACAGGTGTCTTATAGGCCGATGTCGGCCCGGGGTTCGTTTTAATTGATATTTTATGTATAATTTTACCCAAGACACTATAATAAATTTTACAATTACAAAAAATATATATTGAAATCTCCACCATTTTAATTAAACATGTAATTTTTGATAACTCGATCAAGTACCAGTTGATGGATTTGGATTAAATTCTATATGCTGATGCCTTATGACAGAGGAGCTTTGCTAAAGAAGAAATCTAAAGATGACAGCTGAATTTCAAAATGGCAACCATGTTTCATAATAACATAATCTTTGATAATTCAAATACCAGTGGATGGATTTGGCCCAAATTTTATATTGCCGCTATTTATCAAAACATGTTTTTGTTAGGTGGGATTTGCTACTCCGTGGAGTTGCTGTTTTTCTAGTTTTTTGTGTATTTGTTTAGGAAGACATTTAACTTTCTAATAACGTTGAAAGTTTTTCGAACAGTGCTCGATTTTTTTCCTAGTCAATCTACCCATTTAATTGGTCGGTCGGAAAATGTTGTGTTTTTACACATTTCCTTTGATCATTTCCTCCCTGTCGTCTAAGAATGTTGAAGATTTTTATGAGAATATGTTTCTTTAAACAGCACAATTAAGGTCTGGTGGAGATTTAATAAGTATTAACATTTTGGCTATAATTCAAAAAATCATAAGTGTATGTTGTCAACTCGAATGTACGTTGTCCCATTGAACTTACTCAATTCATAGTTAACCCTAATGAGCACAACGTATTTTTCATAACACTAACAGAGAGGGGGGTCAGATGCATTTAAAATTAAGACAGAACGATTACAGAATTACTTCAATTTGATTGAACTATTGAAACTCCAGATATATCATAAACGGGATTTTAAAAAGTCATATTCAATAAGCTTAGTATAGATCAGTAGATCTATCTATCAGAGTCTTCAACATATTCTATTCCGAGACACTGGACGGGAGTTTGGGCTGGAAATGGGCACAAATTAACCACCACCACAACAATACTTTCATGAAATGAAAAAGCAAAAAGGATACCTGAACATGTTCGTTAAAGATCACTTGTTACTTATAAAAACCTTAATGAATTTTGAAATGAAATCATTGCATTGTTAATATAGCGCGTATCTCATGAATCTCAATTACAGGGACAACGTACATTCAAGTTGACAACGCACATTTCTGATTTTTTTAAATTACAATAAATCTCCACCCGTCCTAAATTGTGTAGTATAGAGAAACACATTCTCATAAAAACAATCGACTCTCTTAGGCAACAGGGGAAAAAATGATCAAAGGAAATGTGAAAAACCCAACATTTTCCAACCGATCAATTTTCGTGGGTATATTGACTACGAAAAAATCGAGCACTGTATTAACAGTTCAAAAATCTGTTCGAAAATCTTTTAACGTTATTAGAAAGTTAAATGTCCTCCAATACGAATACACACGAAATTAAACATGAAATCTTTCAAGTACTCCCAAGATTAATTTTTAAAACCTACATCACACCTGCATCTATATTGTCTTTGCTTCAAATCGGTTAAATAGTGCCATCGTACATCTAAAGTGTACTACGGTATATTTTGTCACTGTACCTTGTCGATGGTTAGGCGCGTGTTATTGCCGATCATTCATTTTGTTACGCGGTGAACTCACATGTAGAATATGCTATACGGCATATTCACCGTATCACAAATACAGTACAACCATGAATAAATGCGAAATTCCGCGTAATACGCGGTTAATTAGAGTCACATCTCTGGAATAAAACCAACACATTTGGTCAACCATTTGAAAAAATTTTGGGCCCCTAAAACCAAATAT